TCCAATGACAAGGGCAAAAGCTAAACAATTACAAGATGCCGTTGGAGGGCTGATTAGCGCTCAATGGGATATGGATCAATTTGATGAGGACAAGGAGCGGCCGGTTAATCTAATTGGGGTCCAGTTGGAGGGAAATTAATTGAATTTGGCTATGCTGATTACAAGGATAGTAAATAAATTTATTGGACTATCCATTAGTATTCAAATAATGAGTAGCATATTATTTCTTTTATAATAAGTAGTCTAGTTATTTGTTTTTTGTTAGACTTTAGTTCTATGTTTGAATTCAAACCATCCATGTCCTAGTCTTTAGGCAAGAGGCATGCTAGGGAGCTATATATAACACTCCTAATCTCTTTGTAAAGGACACACATCAGATTTTGAGAAATAGCAAACAAGAGCACTACTTGTGCCTTGCCTTGTTCTTGAGTTCTTCAAGACTTCCCGACTTATCAAGGACTGTTTTCTTCCTTGTGGCGTCTCTTTCTTCGTATCACCTTCAAACCAGGTGTGGGCGAATCCCAATCTTAGAAAAACACCATAACCCTTCCTGCAACACAACCCAAATCCGTCTAACAGAACCACATCACAAACCAACCGAGACAATGCCAGCTCCGTTCTACTAGAGACGTGAAAAAGCCGAGGACCAAACGAGAACGCAAGGTTTCCAAACTTCGTCTCCAGCCCGAGGATCACATCATCTTTGGTATCAGAGCCAGGTTGGCTTATTCACGTCTTAGAGGTTACAAATCACAACCTAATTTATATATTTTCTTACCGTCTATCCTCTATTCAATTGCTGCCAGTTTTCTTCCTTTTGTGTTATCTTTTTAGCTACCAAACTAGTCCCAAAAGCAAAGTGCATAATTTTTTTTTCGTGATCCTTAATGAGTCTACTGTCTCTAAATTAAATTTCATCAATTAATTCCTTGTCATACAGCCCCAATTGATTGATCAATACTCACTGCCGAAAATTTCCCAGATTTGCGCAGTTAGATTGAAAAATTCCAAAAAAATACTTATGTATCGTATTTTGTTCTGAATTTTTTTGTGAAAGTAGTATACTCATAGTACTTGAAAACCTGAAAATTTCAGTCCTAAACAATTTGTCAATTGTTCCCAGAAATTCTGTGAAGTTAACACCCAGATTCTGTAACTTTATGCCAAAACTGTTTCTTTTTTGGTGTGTTTCATTTGTGCTAAATCTATTTTAGCCTTTATTTTTTCATTCAAAAAAAAGGGAAAGAAAAACAAAAGAAAAGAATCAAAAGAGGAAAGAAAAAAAATCAAAAAAAATCAAAAAAAAAAATATACCATTCTGTATGCTGAGAAGGTTGTTCACTTATTTGTTATTAGTTTGAGTATTGTACCAATTTTCTTTCAAGCCAAACACCCAATAACCTTTTATCCTATCACCCACGCCTTGTGGAAGAAGTATTCCTTAGATTGTTGAAAAGTTCGTCAAGAACTCGTAGAAAAGGGTCTTGTTCTTTGCTATTTGTGTGTTTTTGTGAGACCATTAGAGTGTTTTATTTTAATACACGAGCGGTAAAAGAAGAGTGACTCACCCTAAAACTGAGAGTGTGTGAGGGAGTGAAGTAAGGGCCTTATTTATATTATATATATACATATTTTAGCTTTGCTGTTTTAATGGCGGAGGGTGGGGAGACTAGCGAGCGAAGGGAAACCCAAAATCCAGATGTTAGGTTCATGGTGGACGCGATGAGGGGAGAATTTGACAGGTTAAATAGAAGGTTTGAGGAGATGGATGGTAGAATGGTTGAGATGGAGAGAAACCAGAGGGGGGAAAGGATACAAGATGAAAATAGAGGAGAAATGGGGTGCAATTTAGGGAACAGAATAGAGAAAGGGAGACAAATAGAAGACAAAATGAGAGGGAACAAATGAGTAATAGTAGTGGAGAGGAGAGTGAAGAAATAGATGAGAATAGAGAATTTAGAAGGGAAAGAAACAGAAGGGGTAGAAATCGGTGGAAGAAGTGGATGATGACATGAGGGATGTTCAGCCAATGATCCCTAAGTTTCAAGGGAAAAATGACCCGGAAGCTTATCTAGATTGGGAAAGTAGGGTGGTGAGGTCATTTGAATGTCATAGGTATTCAGAGAGGAAGAAGTTAAGACTGGTAGTCCTAGAGTTTACAGACTATGCTTCTAGCTGGTGGGATAAGATTATAGCTGAGAGAAGGATGTATGGAGAGGATCCTATAGAGTCTTGGAGGGAGTTGAGAATTTTAATGAGGAGGCGATTTGTACCAAGTTGGTACCAACGTGAAATGTATCAGCGACTTGAATATCTTTTACAGGGTGCTAGAAGTGTTGCTGACTACAATCAAGAGATGGAAGAGCTCATGATCAGGCTTAACATAGATGAAAAGATCGAGAGGTCCATGGCCCGGTTCCTTAGAGGCTTGAATGTAGAAATTCGAGAAGAAGTTGATAGGCAACATTATGTGGAGTATGATGAGCTAGTACAAATAGCCATGAAGGTGGAGCAGTCTTTACAAAGAAAGAAAAACTGGTTCCACATGAGTTCTTCCTCTTGGAAGAGTAAGGAGGGTTCCAAGGAGAGATTCCAGTCAAAGAATGGCAATGGTAAACCCAAGGACTCTAGAGACCAAAAAGGTAAGGACTTTGCCGAAGGAAACTCTAGGCCACGTAACATCAAGTGTTTCAAATGTCAAGGAAGAGGCCATATTGCAAAGGTTTGTCCAAACAAGGTAAATATGACAATCAAGAAAGGGAGGATTGTTACTGATTCCGAGCAAAGTGATTCCAAGGAGGAGACCGAAGAGGAATCTGATTCACTTGAGGAGGAACTACTTGAAACTGATAATGAAGAAGTTTTGGAGGGACCAGTTGAGGGAGATGCCTTGATGGTAAGGCGCATGCTCAACATCCAAGCCACCGGGGATGAAAGTCAACGTGAAAACATCTTTCACTCAAGGTGTTTTGTTCATGGGAAGGTATGTAGTTTAATAATTGATGGCGGGAGCTGTACTAATGTTGCTAGTACAAAAATGGTGGAGAAGCTAGGCTTGAGCACACAAATCCATCCTACACCATATGCATTGCAGTGGTTAAACAAGGCGGGGGATATCAAGGTGAATCAACAAGTTTTGATTCTGATCAAGTTGGGACATTATGAAGATGAGATCCTTTGTGACATAGTGCCCATGGACGCTGCTCACATTCTTCTAGGGAGGTTGTGGCAGTTTGATATGAAGGTGTTCCATGATGGTTATTATAACAAGTACATGTTCGAGCACCGAGGCAAGAAGATCACCTTAACCCCAATGACTCCGCGACAAATTCACGATGACCTTCAGAAAATGAGGGAAAGAGAGAAAAATGAGAAAAGAATTGAAAAAAATAGTGAACAGAGTGTTGAAAAAGAGAGTGGAAGGAAAAGAGAGAAAAATAAAAGTGAGGACAAAGAAAAAACAAAGAAAAATTTCATTGGAAAAAAGAGAGATATTGAAAAAGCAATAAGAGCGGGGAGGCAAGTTTTTCTTTTGTTGTATAAAGGACCCAACGAGGGTACTACTAATCCTAGTCATTTGCCCGAGGCAATGACTTCTTTAATGCAGGAATTCAAAGATGTTTGTCCGGAGGAACTTCCTGCCGGTTTACCACCGTTGAGGGGGATTGAACACCAAATTGACTTGGTGCCGGGAATGCCATTACCGAATAGGCCTGCCTACCGATGTAACCCGGAGGAGACTAAGGAAATCCAAAAGCAAGTTAATGAACTCTTGGCCAAAGGGCAAATCCGGGAAAGCCTAAGCCCGTGTGTCGTTCCTGTTTTGCTAGTACCCAAAAAAGATGGGTCATGGCGAATGTGAGTTGATTGTCGCACAATTAACAAAATAACTGTCAAATATCATTTCCCTATACCCCGTTTAGATGACATGCTTGATGAATTATTTGGTGCTTGTTATTTTTCTAAGATTGATTTGCGTTCTGGGTATCATCAAATAAGAATTAAGGAAGGGGACGAATGGAAAACAGCCTTCAAGACTAAACAGGGTCTATATGAATGGCTTGTTATGCCGTTCGGCCTGACTAACACACCTAGTACCTTTATGAGACTCATGAACGAAGTTTTACGAGATTTCATTGGGAAAAGTGTTGTTGTTTATTTTGATGACATATTTATAGCAAGAGTCTTAATGAGCATGTTAGACATCTTAGGGAAGTGTTTTCTTCTTTGAGGAAATATAAACTGTATGCTAATCTAAAAAAATGTGAGTTTTGCACTTCGTCGGTACATTTCCTTGGCTATATTGTCAATGCCAACGGGATTGAGGCTGATAGTGCTAAAATTGAGGCTGTCCAGCAATGGCCTACACCGAAAACGGTTAGCGAGGTAAGAAGCTTTCACGGATTAGCGAGCTTTTATCGCCGTTTTGTGAAAGATTTTAGCTCAATTGCTGCACCGCTAACTGAGGTGATTAAAAAGAACGTTGGCTTTGAGTGGGGTGAAAAACAAGAGAATGCCTTTAATGAGTTAAAAGAAAGATTGTGTAAGGCACCTATTCTTGCTTTGCCTAATTTTGATGCTGTTTTTGAGATAGATTGTGATGCTTCCGGAGTAGGAATAGGGGCTGTACTAATGCAAGGGGGTAAGCCCGTAGCATACTTTAGCGAGAAGTTAAGTGAGGCTTCCCTAAATTATCCTACTTATGACAAAGAGTTCTTTGCTTTAGTGCGTGCTTTAGAGCATTGGGAGCATTACTTGCGTCCGAAAGAGTTTGTTATATATACTGACCATGAATCATTGAAGTATCTAAGAGGTCAGGGTAAACTTAATAAGCGACACGCGAAATGGGTTGAATTTATTGAGTCTTTTGCATATTCCATAAAATATAAACATGGGAAGGATAATGTTGTTGCTGATGCTTTGTCTAGGAGATGTGCTTTACTCATGTCTCTACATGCTAGGGTTTTAGGCTTTGAGCATTTGAAAGAACTTTATAACTCTGACATTGATTTTGGAGCAAGTTTTAATGCATGTTTAGAGGGAAAATTTGGTGAGTACTCTTTGAATGACGGTTTTCTGTTCAGGAAAGGCAGGTTATGTATTCCTTCGTGTTCCATGAGACAGCTGCTTCTTAAAGAAGCTCATGGTGGTGGACTCATGGGTCATTTTGGGGTCTTGAAAACTCTCGAGATATTGAAGGACCATTTTTATTGGCCCAAAATGAAACGTGACGGGCATAGAGTCTGTGATAGTTGTGTTACCTGCAAACAGGCTAAGTCCAAGGTACAACCTCATGGGTTGTATACTCCTTTGCCTGTAGCCTCTCATCCATGGGAAGATCTGTCAATGGATTTTGTGTTGGGATTGCCGAGAACTGTTCGGGGACATGACTCCATTTTTGTTGTTGTTGACAGGTTCTCAAAAATGGCGCATTTTATTCCATGCCATAAGACTGACGATGCTAGTAATGTCGCCAATTTGTTTTTCAGGGAGATTGTTAGGCTTCATGGAATGCCTAAGTCTATTGTGTCCGACAGGGATGTAAAATTTTTAAGTTATTTTTGGAAGACTCTATGGGGTAAATTGGGCACTAAGCTACTTTTTTCTACTACGTGTCATCCACAAACGGATGGGCAAACTGAAGTAGTGAATCGTACTTTAGTCACTTTGCTTAGAGTTTTTGTGAAGAAAAATATTAAGTCTTCGGAAAGTCATATTCCACATGTTGAGTTTGCATATAATAGGCATATCCATTGCGCTACTGGATTTTCGCCTTTTGAGATCGTTTATGGATTTAATCCTATTACTCCATTAGACTTAACACCTCTTTCTGTTTCTGATTTTGAAAACATGGATGCCGCAAGGAAGGCAAAATGGGTGAAAGACATCCATGCGAAAGTGAGCCAAAATGTAGCAAGACGGAATGAACAAGTGGCTCGACGAGTCAACAAAGGACGTCGGAAGGTTGTGTTCAACCCTGGAGATTGGGTTTGGGTGCATTTGAGGAAGAATCGGTTTCCAGTTCAAAGGCGGAGCAAGCTGATGCCACGAGGAGATGGGCCTTTTCAAGTAGTCTCCCGGATTAACGATAACGCCTACAAGTTGGCCTTGCCAAGTGAGTATGGCGTCAGTACTTCTTTCAATGTTTCTGATCTTTCTCCGTTTAATGCAGACAAGGCAGATTCGTGGACGAATCCTTCAAAGGAGGGGGGAGATGTTGAGGACAACGATGATCCATTACGAGTCCTAGTAGATGGTCCAATGACAAGGGCAAAGGCTAAACAAATACAAGATGCCGTTGGAGGGTTGATTAGCGCTCAATGGGATATGGATCAATTTGATGAGGACAAGGAGCGGCCGGTTAATCTAATTGGGGTCCAGTTGGAGGGAAATTAATTGAATTAGGCTATGCTGATTACATGGATAGTAAATAAATTTATTGGACTATCCATTAGTATTCAAATAATGAGTAGCATATTATTTCTTTTATAATAAGTAGTCTAGTTATTTGTTTTTAGTTAGACTTTAGTGCTATGTTTGAATTCAAACTATCCATGTCCTAGTCTTTAGGCAAGAGGCATGCTAGGGAGCTATATATAACACTCCTAATCTCTTTGTAAAGGACACACATCAAATTTTGAGAAATAGCAAACAAGAGCACTACTTGTGCATTGCCTTGTTCTTGAGTTCTTCAAGACTTCCCGACTTATCAAGGACTGTTTTCTTCCTTGTGGCGTCTCTTTCTTCGTATCACCTTCAAACCAGGTGTGGGAGAATCCCAATCTTAGAAAACACCATAACCCTTCCTGCAACACAAACCAAATCCGTCTAACAGAACCACATCACAAACCAACCGAGACAATGTCAGCTCCGTTCTACTAGAGACGTGAAAAAGCCCGAGGACCAAACGAGAACGCAAGGTTTCCAAACTTCGTCTCCAGCCCGAGGATCACATCAGTGGATCCTCTTGGTCCGAAATTTTTGTTGATATTTACAGTAGTTATTTGGAGGTTACTTATCAAAAAAATAAAAAAAAAATCAAGAAATTTGAAAAAAAAAAAGCAAAAAATAGAAAGCAATAAAGAAGAAGAATAAGGTTGGGAAAAGAATCTGGTTGGTAGGAGAAATTCGGAGGGATAAGGAAGCGGAAAAGTATAAGGTTGGAAGGAGTTCTTGATATATTCTTATTTGGTTGTGGTACACTTGCACCCCTATTACATTCTATTTGTGTCTATTTACTGATATTGGTCCTGCGTATCTTTCTGCCATACTTCTTTCTTTGCTTCCCTTTTTCTTTCAAATCTTGCTTAGTTTCTTTGCTTGTAGTTATCTTTTTTCTTTCCTTCTTGCTCTCAATTTTATTACCTACCTCGCAATACACCTTACTCTCAAAGGCTTGTGAAGTTTTCCAAGGTACGTTTTCTTCAACTTTGAGGTTGAATCCATATCAACTTGAGTTCCAGACTAGAATTTTCCTTTTTGGAAAAAGGCTTGTGATAGTATCTGCCACTTGGAGTGATACACGAGTGGAGTGTGTGTTTGTAAGAGTGTGTAGTGCACCCCCAGAGCTATATAATCCACCTCTTACCTGCGAGCTGAGAATAGTGAGGGAGCGAGCCAACTTTTTGGTTTCACTAACGTGATTACTCACACATCTTCTTGTTTTCTTTTAGATATTTTTTTTCCTATACAGATGGCTGATCAAGTTCCAAATCTTCCCCAGGCATTAGAACAAAAGATAGACAGGTTACTCAAACGAATGAATAATTTGGAGCAACGCTCACACCAAGTGCAACCACCACACAATGATGAGCGACACCTGCCACCGGCAGGAATAGTGGATCCTATATGTCAAAGGATCCAGCAGCGTAATGCGGAGTTAGGAAACATTAAACATGAAATTCCTAACTTCGCCAGTGAGAAAGGACCTACTGAATACATAGAATGGGAGAATGCTGTTGAAACTCTTTTCCATTTAAAGCACTATTCTGATTTTACAAAAATTAGGCTAGTTGCTACATCTTTTAAGGGTTATGCATTATCTTGGTGGCGAAAAAGAAATGGAGAGAGAGTTGCTAATTTTATTCCTTATGAATCTTGGGTTCACGTGAGGGAAGATATGCGCCTAACCTTTCGTCCTAAATTTTTTTTGTATGATCTTGAAACAAAATTGCAGGGAACGGTGCAGGGAACAAAGTCAGTTGATGAATACCACCAAACTATAAATATTTTGCTTAAACAGGGAAACATAAATGAAGAAGAGACAAAAACTGTTGCTCGTTTTGTACATGGATTGAACTTAGAAATTCGATATGGAATGAGTATTCAGAGATATGACACCCTTTATGATGCCTTGTATGCTGCACGTGAATCTGAGGCAAAAATTAAAGAGATGAAAATGCACAAGTCCAACAATATTGCATCAAGATGGAACAACACTTGTTCCACCCTTCAAAGGCGTGATGAAAATCCTCCTCCAAGAGATGATTCACGAGACAACGGTAAGGAAAAGGTAAGTGAGGCAGTGACGCCTCAACATGATAGAGAATTGATTTGTTATAGATGTAATGGGAGAGGCCACATAGCTCGTGATTGCCATAACAATAGGGTAGTTAAGATAACAAAACAATCTGAAAATTTTGCATCTTGTCTTGAATATAAGTCTAAGGATGAGGTATGTGACCATTTTGAAACTCTCAATGAACATGTTGAGGGAGAACCATTCATACCTTTAGATTCTGATTCTAAATATGTTGCTAGTGAGTCTAGTCATACTGTTGTTGTTAAGGAGGTTTTGAATGTTCACCCTTTAAAAGAAGATGAGTCTCAAAGAGAAAATATATTTTGTACTAAAGGGTCAATTAGAGAGAATGCTTGTGCTATGGTAATAGATTCTAGAAGTTGCACAAATATGGCTAGTGCAGTTATGGGTAAATTTCTCCAGTTACCTTTGCTTAATCATCCAAATGCTTATTGTTTGCAATGGTTAACTGATGCAGGAGAAGCTAGAGTAACCAAACAGGATCTTATTCCTTTATCTATTAACAGTTACTCTGATGAAATCTTGTGTGATAATATCCCAATGCAGGCTGCTCATATCTTGTTAGGTAGACCATGGCAATTTGACAGAAAAATAAGTTATGATGGAATGAGGAACACTTGTGTGTTTCATATGAATGGAGTTACATATGTCTTGCCTCGTTTGTATCCTAAACAAGTAGAAGAAATTCAATTGACATTGATGCAAGCTCTCAAACTAGCCTCAAAGAAGGAAGAGATCAAAGAGAGAAAAGTGGAACCTCCATGTTTGGAATTGCAATCACCACTCCAATCCTCTAACTCAGTTTGTAGCCAAACAAAGGGACCACAATCAGTGATACAGTGGAAAGGACCAGCCCAAGGTGTCAAAGTGCAACCTCTCTTGGTCACTACAAAGGATATTAAGCAAGAGAAAAGAAGGGGAGTAACTATTTACTCACTTTTATTTCAAAAGCATGCATTAAAATTCTCTAGATTTGTTTGTCATGTTTCTATTAATGATCTACTTGGTAGATGTGTTAGAAATTTGTTTGCATCCATACATCCGAGATTCCTTAACTTTGATTTTACTAAAAC